GCTGTGGTTTTGATGAAACCGGCTGGAGGGAGTCCTGATCCCATGACTTACCAGCAGGCCAATGTGTTACATGTGTAGCAAAGTCTGTGTTGGGGTTTCCTTGTCTTTAATTTTTAACAGTGTCCTGTTTCGTAGGCTTGCAGGTTGTCAGGGTCTTTCAAGGCTGGCTGTGCTGTCCTCTTTTTCAAAGCCAATTTAGTGTTCTTTATTAGTGAAACCTTGATACATTTTAAACTGATAAAATCTGATTTTGTGCCTGGTGAATAACTATAGAATTTTGGCTTTCCTTTGACACCAGAGGGACAGAATGTTCTGTGTGGAAAAAGTGAAATACCAATGATATGATTTCTTATGCATTTTTCTTGTGAAATATAGGTTAGATTTACTGTTCATTCATATTATAAAATAGTGGTTTCTAACCTTAGATGTAGTGGTATTGGGACAACTTAGGTATAGAGTATAGAATTAAATTTTTTTTTAAATTAAAATGTTAAGTTAAGTTTCAGTTTGCTCAATGTAATTTAAAATTGAGTATGGAGGATGATGCTTTTGATTTTTCTTTCCTCATGGAAATCAGTTGTGGTAAATATTTCCTTTGACATGTTTCTAGTATATAATATTTCTAGTATATAAACAGGTTTATTCCATATGATAATTTGAGTTTAATGCATTGGAAAATAGGCATTAACTGCTTTTAGTATTGAAATATGTTAAGCAAATCTGAAGAATCGTACTGAGAGTGCAGACGAGGGTGTTCAACTCTTCAGGTGACCTTGTACTTCCATTTTCACATTTTTCATTTCCCCTCTCCATTACTGGCTGTTCCAAAGTGCTGACACAGAAAGAATTCTTAATTTAAAAAAAAAAAAAAGTGACACGTATTTAGTTATCCTTTACATAGAAACAGCAATAACTTGCTTAGGTAATGTGGGATAAAATTTCTACAGAGGTTTTATGTTTCAGTTTTTGACTGACCAGTTAAGGTGGAGACATGTTTGAGCACTTAAAATGGAAATTATTTCAAATGGAGGTTGCAAAATTTTGTTCCCAGAGAATGCAGACATGTTTCCAGATATTTCAAGAAATGTCATGACAAGGACATAAGCAATTGATTTACTTGTCAAATGATCTGTAGGATGGTAAGAACTGTCAGGATTTCTCTTCAGAATTTTAAAGTCTTTTTAACTGCTTGGTTGTTGCAGTTCAACAGTCTGCAAACGGGCTTCTGGATCCACCTCAGCTCTGTATCTTAAGGTTCACTGAGATGCTTTATGTCCATTTTCTGTAGCTCCCTAAAATATCTTTGTTGTGATACAGTTAACTTACAGTTTTGTAACACTCTTCAACTTTGATGAATCTTACCACTTTCCCATAGGTTTGTTTGGGCTGATTGCCTAAACACTTGTGAACTGATTATTGCTACAAGATACCTGAATTCCTTTTAGGAGTTTAAAATTTTACTGCAGACTGTCCATATTCAAAATGGATTTATAAGATCTCTTCAGGTTGAGGTCACTGTTTAAACAGCTGTGAGTTAGTTACTGCATACTTTAAAATGCAGATATTTTTATCTCATTAAATAACTTTTCCAGCTCATTAATAGCATTAGATTGAGGAGACTTGATAAAGTATTTTTCCATGTAAAAAAAAATAATTTTCATAATTCTCTTCATTTACGATGTTAAGGCAGTTAATATGTCAACTGTCAGATCCATATATTAATATGAATTGTAGTTAACAATTTATAGTCAATTTATTATTTTACTATCCCTGGATTTTAATTGAATTGGCATGTCATTTATTATATATTAATGCATAATAAGTGGTGGTAATTCTCCATGCTAATGTTCCAGCCAAGTTAGTTAACTCTGTTTAATCAAGCCTGAACTCAGCTCATTTTTGAAATAAACTGAGCTGCTTTCATTATAGCTTTCCTTTGTCTGAAATGTTCATGAGGCAGATATTTTGCCTGTGAATACTAATGATCAGAACATCCTTTTAGTCTGTGTCTCATACTACATTCTTTTTTCCATCTGAGCTGGTTTGGCTTTGAATTTGTTTGTACTGTGGGCTTCTCGCTTTTGTAATATACTGCTTTCACAGTGCTAGGCTTTAAAAACCTCCATAGCTTGGCGCTGGGGCCGGGAGTTGCCGTGCATGAAGGAAAAATATATTTCTTAGGGTATTTTGGATGATTGAGAGACTGGCATTACCTCAGTGTGTCTCTGCCTTGGTTCTCCTCTCTGGAGAGCAGTTCTGTCCTTTAAAACTCTGACATTTCTTACGGATCCTGGAACCAGACTGTCTTTTTGTCATATGTGTCATTATTGACTCCTTGGATAGAATGGCTTCAGAGCAGTGTACGTGTTAAGGAAAAACATCGTGGTCTCTCTTCAAGTGCAAGTGCATTCTGGAGCCTGATGGATATGCCTAATATTGTGATAGCTGCGTAGATGTTCAGGGAAAAGGGTTGTATCACAGAGCATCAAGTATTGCTTTTCCTTTAATCTGTTCCGCGTTAAGAAATTCACCTTGTAAAAAAATTTATTTCATTATCTATGAAGTACCTAAAGCACCTATACTACAGAGCAACCTAGAACCCTAGAAAAAGAGATTGACGTTAAATATTGCTTTTAATTGGAGTGCAAAAAGATTGCAAATTTCAGGTGTTTAAAAAAAAAATAATCCCAGTTGTACACTTTTAATATGTATGTGTGGCTTCATAATTATAAAAAGCATTTATTATCTGTATTTGTGAATAGTATTTCTCCACATAACTCGTACTCTAACAATAAAAATACATGTCTACCATGGAAGTCCTATGTTGTATTATATATGCTGCAGCCTGTGTTAACACCTTTTTTTCCAGACATCACTTGTTAGGCTGAAACCTTCCATCCTTGAATTGAAAATAATTCTCTTGCGATCTTTGAAATGCAATTCAGCAATTGAACAGAGTGAAACAGTTTCAAAAAATTAAAAATGCAGCTGATTATTTGGAGGCAGTAGTTGTCTGTAACTATTTTTCAATCTTATTTTTCAAATGATGCAATTAACATCAAATTTTGTTCCTCAGGAAAAGAAGGCTCAATGTCTCGAGGCAGGAATACATGGTTAATTTAGCTACACATTCATATTTTTCTTAGGGTTATTCTGGAATGATTTGTGGCATTTGTGACAAATGAAGCAAAGAGTACGTGAGGCTTTCTTCCATCAAAGAGGAATTGTTTCACTGATAATTAGATAAATGCTTCAAATATCAGGATCTTGTGCCTTTAACTAGATAAAGGATGCTGTATGTTTCAAAACAAAACCAAGAACCAGCACACAGAAGTAAATCCCAGCATGCCCCAAACACCTAATCGAGTTTTCTGAGAAAGCAAGGCGGGGCGGGGGGGGGAGGCAAGGGGGGCGTGGTGGGGGGAGGCAAGGTGGATGAAAAAATGCTTTTAATCTAGCCCCTATTGATTTATTCCACTGATAGAGTTGTATCATTAGGGTGTTTCTTTAGAATAATAAAGTGCTCTGTGATTTTCAGTTTTGTTGTAGTTTTCATTTTCTTCTATGAGGAAAGGCATATCAATTTGGGTTGCAGAATCCTGCTCCTTGCTTGCTCTGCAGTTTTCGTTTGTTCCATGTACAAAGTTTGTATGTATAGAACATACAGTTATATACAAAGTTACTCTCACTGCTCTTGATGTAGATAGAACAGCATACAGTTGAAGAAAATAAGTGCAGAAAAATTAGTGAGAAAAAAAATTACATGGTAATAGTAGCCATGCGAAATACTTACATTTTTGTAGTAGCATTTGACTGCTTGTTGTTTGCTTGAAATGTTTGTGCTTAGTCAAAATTGCATTGGTGTCTAACAGGTTAAGTGGTTGAATACTGGTTGAATACTCTCTAGTAGTAATGTCTTCTGGAGTGTACTAAAATCAATTTTACAAACAACTGCAAGTTGGTTTTTTTTGTTTGGGTTTTTTTTAAATAAATGTGTACAATATAATATTTTTGTGAAGCAATAGTTTAGTCCTTCTTGCATTAATAATTAAGGATTGTGTGGTGCCATTTTTTTGTTTGTTTATTGACAACACATGGATAAATTTTGAGGTTTTATTATTGCTTTTTCAGATTGTAAAGTAAATAATAAAAGCTCAGACACTTGTGTGCTTGATACAGCAACAAAAAAAAAATTATCAGCAGCTGGGAGAAGTAGGGTGATGCAAATATTTACTCTTAATCAACATATGAGAATAGAAGTTTGTTTAGAAATGCACTTACAAATGGCTTTGTATAATTTGCCTGCTGCATTTTTAATGAATGTTGTCAGCAGCCTTTTGACCAGCCGAATTATTTGTGTCCTGATCAAGGTAAAAACCAAGAAGTCACCAAAATGCTACGTTAAATGAGTGACAATATCATAAGGAAAATAATGGCAGTCAATTTATTCTTTTTCTTTTCTTTTCTTTTCTTTTCTTTTTTTTTTTTTAATAGTATGAATCAGATGAGCAAGAAAAAAGTGGCTATCAAGAGTATGATAGTGACAGTGATGTTCCTGAAGAGTTGAAAAGAGACTATGTGGATGAGCAGACAGGAGATGCCCCTGTGAAAAGGCAAGTAGACTGTGTGAGTCCTTGGTCTCATTTATATGTTTTTCATCTCAGTACTCTAATTAGTTCATTTTCTGTTTAATCTATATGCTACAACAATGGAATAATAATCAAATAATCTTTATGCTACCTGCACAGTTAGAAAGGCTCAGGACTTAGATCTCGAAAATGGGGAGGAACATTAAACTGCACATCATTATTGCAGAAAGAAACTTTGGAAAGCAAGATTTTGAAGGAGGATAAAGGCTCTCTGAAGCAGGTAGTGGAAAACTGATTAGCAAGTGTTAGATGTTAACTGAAGGTTCTTCTACAACTAATGTTGTGCATACGTATAATTTCTGTCGCGTCAAAAGCAATTGTTTGCAGACAAATGGCTTGAGGCTTGGGCTTCTGCTTTTGCAGAACAGAAGCAAACTTTTACAGATTAAAAAAGAATTAAATTCCTCTGTAGCTTGAAGGCAGTCATTTGGAGTTTTAAATTCTCTTTTTGTTTAAGAATACACACACACATATATACACATATGAATATACATATCAAATATTGATGACTGTATATAAATATTTTAT